TTTCAATGGTGGTCTAACATTGATCTATTGATTATATTAATCTAAACTCAACAATCCTCACAACCCTATAGTGTTAATATTTAATTGTATAATATTGTAAATATGTGTTCATACAGTAGGTTATTGAATTATTATTGTTAAATACAGCTCAGTTCAATTTAGGGAAATCTGACTGTGAATATACTATATGATGGGACCTCAGATCATTTTGTTCTATTTTGAGAATCAAAGCAGTCTTTCTTTTTGCACTTTGCGCCTTTTCTCTTGTGTTCAAGTCTTCGCGTAGGTTCAGTTTGAGGTTATTAGAAGCTGTACAATCGTATATATATGAAAATTTTTTTTGTTTTTGTAAAAGTACTAATTCCGTGAGGAAATGTGAACACAGTTAATAAAAAAAAGGGTTATAATACTAGATTACGTAATATGAATAATAACAATAACAATAGATTTAGTGATTATAATAAGATGATTAAAATGTTTTTTTGTTATAATAATTAAAGGTCATAGAGGTGTACAAAAATAAACTGATATGATGAGCGTTCATGAATAAAACAATGAGAATATAAGACATAAGTAAAGGGGGAATGATTTCGATCTGTGAAATTTCTAAAATCTCCACAAAACCAATTCTGCATTCCGTACTGCATATGTGATGTATGCGATGGCATAAAGAATGGATAAGGTTTCTCTTCCTACTTAACGGAACCCAGCTATAGAATTTGGTTAGCTGGCCATTCCATGTTTGTTTTCTAAAGATGGATCTTTTTAAAGAACCATTACTCGTTCTCATCAGACGTACATCGAGAAAAGGAATTGATTGGTCTTGTTCCCTTTCTATAGCTGGGTTCCGTTAAGTAGGAAGAGAAACCTTATCCATTCTTTATGCCATCGCATACATCACATATGCAGTACGGAATGCATTAACGAAGAACTCGCATTCCTGAAGAAGACTTTGACGGAAAATGGTTACCCAGAACGGTTCATAGAAAAGAATATGAATAAAAGTAGTCGCGAGAAGAATTCTAGTTGTTCCGTTCCAAAGAAAAACGTTTATATAAGTCTGGAATTTAAAGGTGACCGAACATCGGACGTAATCAAAAACCGTCTAACAACAACTATTAGAAGAACATTTAACGCGGCAAAACTGCGAATATCCTTCACTAGTAGAAACTTATTTTCTGTATCCATAAAAGATAAGCTCCTGCGTCTGGTCGCCTCCATGTGCATCTACCAGTTCACCTGCTCTTGTGGAGCAAGGTACATTGGCCGTAGCCAGCGCTCGCTTTCAACTCGGATACGAGAACATATCCCAGCCTGGTTCTATAAAGGGTGAAAGGAAAGCAGTTAGGAGTTCTATACTTGAACACCTAATGGACTATAACCATTCAACAGATCCACAAATTGATTTTAAGTTTGTTTATATGATTCGTTCAAATCTACCCAGATTTCTTCGTATACAACTTTTAAAAATAGCCGAAGCTCTTGTCATCCAGGAGCTTAAACCAGAACTATGCGTACAAAAGAAGTACGTCTTATCGTTATCGTTACCTTGGCCTTAATTAGTTTGATTATCCTATTATTATTATTATTATTATTATTATTATTATTATTATTATTATTATTATTATTATTATTATTATTATTATTATTATTACTGCATTCCCCCTTTACTTATGTCTTATATTCTCATTGTTTTATTCATGAACGCTCATCATATCAGTTTATTTTTGTACACCTCTATGACCTTTAATTATTATAACAAAAAAACATTTTAATCATCTTATTATAATCACTAAATCTATTGTTATTGTTATTATTCATATTACGTAATCTAGTATTATTATAACCCTTTTTTTTATTAACTGTGTTCACATTTCCTCACGGAATTAGTACTTTTACAAAAACAAAAAAATTTTTCATATATATACGATTGTACAGATTGATAATAAATTCGTTGAAAAGAGATCCCTTCGCTGAAATTTGTGTTTTAGTTATTAGAAGCGGTTAATAAATCAAATGGATTGTTCATTCAGTAACACTAATCAATATTTTAATACTTGAAATCATCAGTCAATTGAAGTTAGACCACCATGGAAAACCTGAAAGCATCGTCCTACTGTAGGACCCTCAACAGTGTGCATCCACGGTCCCGCCTGGAGGTTAAGCGTTCGCGCGATGGAGACCGATAGGTCCCGAGTTCGAATCTCCCTAGGCCATCCACGATCCCACCTTGAGAAGTTCGGACCTAGAACCTTCGGTCGTGCGCGCGAACTCTTAACCTGTAGACCATTGAACAGTCATCTAACGGTGTTAATGTTTAACTTCAACCAATCCATGAAATTGAGCGATATATCCACTTATCAATCTGTTATAAATATTGATGCATTTATACATAACATTATAAAAAAACACATACATACTTTATATTATATTCATTATCAATATTTTAGGTTTGTTACAATATTTTATTTATAATACTCATTTCTGACCCGAAACAAAACTGAACTCATATTACCTTAACATCCTATATACAAACGAATCTTTCTACCTGGATTAGGCATGCATATATCTATATATGCTAGATCATTAATAATTAATATACTTCTAATAACAATCAAAGTACATGGTGCTGACCTTACATGGCATTATCTATATACAATTATGATGTAGATAAAATGAAACTTGACTATAATATTTTCATAAGGACAAATTTGTTAATACAATGAGTTTGTAGAGATTGATTGTAAGTTAGAATCCGTTGGATAATCAATTCAACCTACGTATAAATAAAACTTATTAGCTATTCTCATCTATGATATTGTCAAACTTGAATCCTGGAAAATTGATTTGACTTCAATATATTTCGAGATAAACAATTCCTTACTTCTATCCAGACCTTAAAATTCTTCAGTCTTCAAATTCTAAACAAAAAAAGTAATATCAGAAGAGGTTTTTGTGGATATTATAGTAATATCAATAGTTGAGACCATAAGTCAATGGAAGCTAGATCACCATGGAAAACCTGGAAGCACTGGACAGCCGTTTCATCCTATTGTAAAACTCCTCAGCAGTGCACACCCACAATCCTACCCCGCGAAATTCGAAGTTGAATTTAGACATTAACAACATTGGATGCCTGCTTAGTGGTCTGGAGGTTAAGCATTCGCGCGCGTGACTGACAGATCCTGGGTTCAAATCTCACTCCTCAGGAGTCCACAAAAACCCCTTCTGATATTTATAGGTTCGCTTGTGACCCTGAAATTCTGTCATCTGGATTCAATCATCGACTATCGAGTAGTAAATATAATGAAATCTGAATGAGTATCAAATTGATAACCGATTAGAATTTTCATATTTGGATATATTTTTATTTCAGATAAAAGAAAATAAGCATAATACATTTTATCGTTGATATGATACCTTCACAACATTTCTATAGTTGATTTAGAATTATTTTCTGATTTTACCGAGAAAATGGCTCTATGAAAGTATTTACGAATTCCTACGGAACACAATTTCTAGGTATTATGCTGATGATTGATATGTAACACAATGAAATTCTGTTGACATTCAATAATGTACGGTGAGTGAGAAGCAAAACAAATCATTATTAAAGAGCTTCCATTATCTTTGGGAGCTATTAGCTATATGGAGGCCTGTTTTAGGCAAATGATACTGGGTCCGAGCCTGTGAGTGTGCATCAACTCGAAGATGAAGGTGCATCCAGATGAAGATTCCTAAATAGGACGAAATATGTTCCCTGGATTCCACTACTAGACACCAACCATCTTTTCTCAAAATGCTTGTAACATACTGTTTGTAAAGAGACAGTCCATATAGGATGCACATATACCAAAAGTGGCTGATCAGTTCTAGTGGTAAACATCAATAAGATTTAAAAGACCAGTACAAATGTTTGATATTGATTACCTACTAACCATTATGAATATTTTATCCGTAAAAGAGGTCGATGTGCTCTGAATAACTCACTGGTCACATCCATCGTGGTATGTGCTATTTATGTCGACAGACATAAGTAGTATGTAACGCCAATCGGAAGTGAAAAAAAAGCTGACAGCAAAAGGCTAAGAAAATCGAGTGGAAGAGAATAAAAGAGGAAATAGAAAGAAATTTTGAACTTGAAGTATCATATAGAATGTAAAAGATAAATGATAGAAATTTACAAATGAAGTATTCAGTGCTTGGTTTTTATATTTTACCATGTGTTATAACATGTGCCCTGTGTCCGCTCCTGTTTCCTGCCTAGCCCTACCTGTTAGAGTTCAGAACACTGATCTCAGTCTCTACAATATGAATCATTTATTTCAAACATATTGGGTTTATATACCAACCAAACAGACCACATCACAACATAAAATAGAAAATAACACTTCTACAATATTTAGCCAAATATGGTTGTGAATGTGTGAGACTGTAATTGATAAACTGGTAATAACTCAAGAATAGTAAATCGTATAACAGTAGTCCGTGAGATCAAAATAAAGCTTATGATAAGTGGAACACGAATATGAATAGTTTAGTTACTTAACAATTATACTATAAAAGTATATGTATAGTATTAGTCCAGAAATAGATTCCGACTATACTCATCGGGATATAACAGTAAGATACTATATAATTTCATATTAAAATACATTGCTTGTCCCTACTTCTATTCTCATTCAAAACATTATAACTGTAAATCTTCCATTAACTGGTTCTAGTCTCAATATAAGTGACTATCCATTGTATACAACTACATACATATATACAACTACAGACATAACCACAAAACGATAGTTAAACCATTAAAACAATTGTTTGTTAAATGAACAGTGTATAAGTGTTCAATAATCTTAAGTTCAATAAAATATTGTTAATTAAAACAATTAGTTACACAAACCTGTTCCACATAGATACAAACATCTGAATGCACAATTAGACTAACTTACATTAGAAACCTTTAATAGATCTATAATGTATGAAGATTTCCATAGATACTTGAGTACATATATAAGCATACAAATACATGCACTCAATTTACATGATTCATAAATATAAATTACTGATGAAAAAGGCATTATCCATTGTTTATTCTATCATTTCCGCTTTTTACCTGAACAACAGTTTAGTAAGTAAAGTGTTAAACAGTTAGTTTTCAATGTACATCTCCTTTCTATTGCTCTTATTTAATGATTTATGCATAAATCATATCACTTGATTAAGTTTGAACTCTATGATTCAATTATTCAAAATATTGACGAGGTCATAACCCAAACTGGGATGAAACACACGTCAAACTGGATTCCACTACTAGCCACTATTTATCTTTGCTTAAAAAGCTTGTGACTTAAGGCTGTATCGAGGCAATCCACACAGGATGCACACATGCTAATAGCAGACTGACCAATTGCAGTCTGAAACCTCAATGGGAAGACACAAGCAAAAATAGTACCAAGCGAATTTAAATTCACCCTATCGCACAAGCAGGTGGCTATCAGGACTCGGTAACTGAATGGACAACACGATGGCGTTTGAAGTGAACGGTACTGATTTTGAGTCCCTCCTGGAGTGAACATCAACTGTTAGATGCAGGTATATCCAACTGACGAGTCCAAAATAGGACGAAACGCGCATCAAACTGGATTCCACTGCTAGCCACTATCCATTTTTGCTTATAAAGCTTGTAAATTCATGCAATATCGAGGCAGTCCGCACAGGATGTATATATGACAATAAGAGACTGATCAATTGTAGTCCTAAATAACTATGGGAAGATACAAGTAAACAACATCATGTGAACATAACCTCTATAGTTCATTAAATTAAAAGTGAATCATCGAATGATTGATTTCATTGAATGAAAATTATGGTAATATGGTTAACTGAATCCAGTTAAAAATTCCATACATCAATAGATTCTTACTGATTCTGTAATTATCGTGATATCGAAAGGTCATCAGGTCATCAGATTTTTACTTTCCCTGTGGATGTATATTGTTAAGAAAAGCCGACTTATAACGAAATAAGGCAAGACTATAATTTATGGACAAACCAATCACGTTTAAGATAACAGTTGGCGGATTTTCGGCATGAAATTCATTCATCCATTTGGATAAAACGAGTTTTGACATTATAGTTGATGTCAATTCGTGATGAAAATCCGGAATGTAATTCCGAACCTTAATCATCAACTGTAAATTATAATTCTAATTTTTCACACTGGTTTATAACCCTCATTTGATCTTGGTTATTAAGTGGACACTCTCAAGGTTAGTCCAGCGTCGTTCAAATGTCGTCCATAAATTATGGTCTCACCGTCAATCAGAAAGGAAATTCTTAGAAGAGATACTTGAATGATTGATCGAAACAAATCATTCCGATTGAAGTTTTATTCTTCTTGGAACTGATCAAAAAGTAGTAACTTTGAAAATCTTTAATAATTTCATGCTCCCTTAACAAGTTACTTTTAGTTCACTTACAGTCATAGTTAGTCGGACACGTCACTAATAAATATTAGCACGTTATTAATAATTAATTTCATGTTGTTTATTCTCGATTGTTTGCATCATACTACCTTTCTTTCAAATTACTCAGAGGTAAAGCGGTGGACTGTAAGTTAATATTAACTAGTCTTAGTGATTATAAACAATGATTACAGCTGAAACGGAGCATAGGCTGTTAAAGAATTGAAATGGCTATCCTATAGAACACTGAACGTAAAATCTGATCACTCATAATTATGAATAGATTCAAGTCAGAAATATGGACCATTAAAATTTCAGTTTAGTAGCTTGGAGGTAATACACTTGACTCTAAACATGAAAGTATTGAGTTTGGACCCTTGTAGTATGATCAGTGTGTTTCTTATTTCTTTACTAGAACAAAATGTTATCCAATGCTCCCTAATTTCCAGTGACCATTTCGCTAAAATCAGTTTATGATATAAGTTACATAATGTCATGATTATAGTTTGATATTTTACTGAATTCAGTGACTGATTGAAATTATAAGTCAATTGAAGCTAGACCACTATGGAAAACTTGAAAGCACTGGACAGCCGTTTCGTCCTATTGTAGGGCTCCTTAGAAGTGAGCATTCATGACCCCGCCTCACGAGATTTGAACTCAGGACCTATCGGTCTCTCATGTGAACGATTACCCTCTAGACCACTGAGCCGGCATCGAATGGTGCTAATATCTAACTTCAATCAATCCACGAAATTCATTTTATTTATTATTCCTTGTTGTATGTCTGTCTAATTTTCTCTCTGTGTTAATTTATTGAGTGGTTACTTGGGCTGATACACACAGGTATTTGACTGACTTTTTAGAAGCTACTGCTTTTTATAGTATCAATAGTATTAATGGGATTAGTTGTAGTATGAGTAGTAGTGGTTATCTTAGTAGTATTTGTCCTATTTTTTCTATCAGAATCAATTCTTTCTACATTAATCAATGACTTGGTTACAAGAAGAAGTTCATGTATTTCATGTTAATAGGTGTAATCTAATTCTTATCATCAGATTAGTTGTAACCACTAATTAAGATGAATCAATTTCAAGTAGAGCACCTTAAATTTTCAATGTTAAGTAATCAGTAACAATCGATATTAATCCGCTTATAATCCTCTATCATTTCATTAAACAATGGTTTAATCTAAATAAGAAAAGATGAATTAATTACTCAGTGAAACACTGATATGGACTTAAATGGTAAGAAATAAATATATTCTTAATTGCAAAAGATATTTGACAAGGATTTATCTCAGGGTGTTGATGAAAATCAGGAGCACTGAACAACTGTTGAGTTCTAGTACTGGACTCCTCAGGATTGATTTCCCACGTTTTTACTAAGCATGGAACAATAGATATTCAGGTCTCGTTATAAATGCTTAACATTTAGACTACTGAGTTGATATATAGCGAAACGATCATTCACTTTTCACCCTTAACATGTCTGAAATCCACAGGAATCTATGGAATTCGTCTAACTTAGTAGTGAGTGTACTATTACTGAAATGGTTTTGTGAACATTATTTCTAGACTAAATCATGTCATTGAACCAATTTGGAAACATGTGTAAAGTTGTGTGGATACCTCATCATCATTACAACGGTCAGCTAAATTTATATGCTTAAACAATGGATACACACAAGCAAACTTCAAGTGTTAAACGCTATTGCCAGCATATAGAACTGGTTATAAAGTGTGATTATGATGCTTTAAATTACTTTACGCAAAATGTGAACATGTATCTTTATGGGTGTAGTGTAGATATCCGTGATCGCGCAGTAATTGTCTAATTAAATAAATCAGTAATACGTCATTTAAGGTTAATTCCATTAAATAAGATAATTTTCATTTTACTTCTTGTATATTGATTTTCTCCTCACCACTTACTTACTTACTTGCACCTGTCACTCCCAATGGAGAATAGGCCACCGATCAGCATTCTACAACCCACTCTCTCCTGAGTCTTCCTTGCTAGCCCTATCCAATTGTTGTTCATTCTTCCCATGTCTGTTTCCATTTCTCGGGCCTTTATTTGGCCCTGAGGATCCCAAGTGACGGCTTGCCTTGTGACTCAGTTGGGTGCTTCACGTACCTTCACATACCTGGGAAGCATCACAAATGAACAAGGAGGATCCGATGCAGACGTAAAGGCGAGGATCGGCAAAGCAAGGGTCGCATTCCTGCAATTGAAGAACATATGGAACTCAAAACAACTTTCAACCAATATCAAAGTCACAATCTTCAATACGAACGTCAAGGCAGTTCTACTGTATGGAGCTGAAACTTGGAGAACTACAACAACCACAATCAAGAAAGTACAAGTATTTATAAATAGCTGTCTTCGCAAGATACTCAACATCTATTGGCCGGATACCATCTGCAATAGCCTTCTGTGGGAGAGAACAAACCAACTTCCAGCTGAAGAAGAAATTAGGAAAAGACGATGGGAATGGATAGGACATACATTACGCAAATCGTCAAACTGCATCACGAGGCAAGCCCCAACTTGGAATCCTGAAGGGAAGCGAAAAAGAGGAAGGCCAAAGAACACATTGCGTCGGATAATGGAAGCAGATATGAAAAGGATGAATTACAACTGGACGGAGCTAGAAAGGATTGCCCAGGACAGGGTTGGATGGAGAATGCTGGTGAGCGGCCTATGCTCCTTCACGAGGAGTAACAGGCGTAAGTAAGTAAGTAAGTAATATGAACAGTCGAATTAATATGGATTTATGGAAGTATATTTCCTCATTTGAACTCCGCCTGGAGCCCCCTGGAGCTACTGCCGGTCTAAAGCCCGGATAAATGAAGAGGGTTGGGTACGAGGTTAACGACCCTACCCCGTAGAAACAATCTCACTAAAAAAGTCGCTAACCAGAAAAAATAATTCAAACCACTTAAACTCTGCCCTGGGAGTTTGAAGATCTTCATTTAGAAGACTTATGACCCCTCATAGTGAATAGCCGAGTTCCTCCGGAACTCACGAGGCTGATGCACCTTCTGACAACCAAAGCAACAAGTAATTTAGGTACATGGAACGCTCATACAATGTGAGAGAGTGGGAGAGTCTTAAAAATCGCTACAGAATTTCTTCATTTAATTGGAAGTCCTATAAACTCTATGATTATAAATGAGATCAAGAATTGGAAACTCATAAACATCCATATGAGTTTATATTGTAAGAAAAATATTTAATTTCTTGCACAACAGTGTTACTTGTACATAAGTTGTTCAAACTTATTTACTGAATAGTATAATGATTATCATGTAACATGATGTTACTAAGGTGACGGTGGGTAAATTAAGTTTCAATTTAAAACGGTCATCTAGTATTTAGTAATCTTCAACAGTCTTTCAGCTCGTATCAGTTCTAAACAGAAATCGCCCTTGAAAGTATTTTGTTGTTTTGAAAAATAAGATGTGAACTAAACTTCAGGATTGTTTTGATCAAACCTTCAATACACAAAAGCCAATTATTAATTTCAAACGTTAACGCTTTACCGTTGTTGATTCAGTACTGAATATAAACACTCATAGATTATGTCACGGACTAAATTTAACTGGATAACGAGTGAAATTAAGGGGCACTGAATAGCTGTTTCATTTGAATAATGAACTATTCAGTAGTGTACAATCATCATCCAATCAGAGTTCAAGCTCAAGACGTCAATATCTTATATCAAGTTTATTACTTACAGACTCCTGAGATAATGTCAAATGATTATGATTTCTAGCTTCAATCAGTTCACAACCAGTCATTATTGAATATATGAGATTCTTAAACGGAAGTCTTGATATTTTTTATAGATATTTTCCACTGTTTAATGAGAGCTGTAATTCAGAATAAACCTTCCCTCTTGTATGAGACTCATCAGCTACATATACTTGTCATTGTGTTGATTTTCCCACTTGGTATTCAATTAGAAGTTCGATAAGATTATTAGCACTGAAGTTAAGATTGTATCCAAAAGCCAGGATGAAATATTTGTTCTGAAACCTGATGACAGGTCATTACCGAAAATAGTACTTCATTTCAGGTATTTCTATGTAGTCAGATTATTATAATTCGAATGTAATTACTTTGTGTCTATTGAAATTACTCAGTTGTCTACTAAAACTGTTTCACGTCTCCGGTAAATGATAAACAAATACAATTCGACAAACAGGCAAAATATACAAAAACTGCAGTTCACCAAAAACAAAAAAAACGTCTGAAAAACTGACGAACTACTAACAAGTAGACAATAACTTCAGAGAGAAAAATATAAAAGATTATCATCTTCTGGAACATTTCCGGTATATTGGTACCAACATTGCGTGATGCTTTAGGATTCAATAGATCTAATTTTAAGTCCTTATTCAATTCACAAAATAATTTGATCATTATTTCCATTCATTAACAGGGTATTTATCTTCATTTTAGATTAAATAATATTGCGAGTCAAATAGCAAAGTTACTGAACTGTTGAATAGATTAAATACTTACTGACAGAGCCAACAGAAAGTAAAAAGAAACTCTGAGGTGAGTATTTACAAGCTTCATTTGTATTGTTCACTGTTTAGAAGCTATATAATCAATACATTATTCTATTAGATCATATCTTGATAATACCATTCAAATATTCAGGAAGTAGTTGGATATTATCGTGTTCGTTACAAGTCGTTATGGTAACAATTTCAATCTTAAACAATGAAACTTCAGATGAAGTGAAAATTATGCGAACGGATCATAAGTCTTTATGTCTTAGCCCTTTATGAACTGACTTATTGAGAATAATAACAAGGGGCGCTATCAGAGAGCTCTTTCTCTTTATAACTATTGAGTAATTCATCTTACGGGGAAATTTAGATAAATGTTTAATACTATCTATATCAATTTCATGTGATCATATGTTTACACAAATTCTCCTTTAAATTGTATGGACTATTCGTAAATGTCGATATATGTCGAGAACATACACCGCTGTAATGTGCTTTGTAATCTGACCCACCTTCTTGTACGTGAAATTTGACCATTTTTTATATGATTAACCAATCAATAAACATAAAGTAAAACTTATTTAAAGGCAATATCATTATGGGGGTTGTGAAGATTATTAAATTTTTTATTGAGATCATGAAACGATTGGTGTTAGACTACCAATGAAAACCCGGAAGCACTGGAAAGTCGTTTTATCCTAGTGCGCATCTCCGATCCAGTTCGCGGGATTCGGACCCAGGGCCTTCATTCTAAACTGATCTCAGCTGAAAATCAATAAATGATGAGCTATTTTGTCCTAGTTTTAGACAAACCATCAGTGTGTACTCATTAAACCGAATTCGATAAAACAGATGACTTCCATGATTTATCATAATGAACATAAAACATATGGACAACTGAATCAGAATTTAATAATTTACATTTACAGTGATTTTTATCCAAATATCTAACTTAATTAACATTTTAGGGAAATGTCTTCCAATTAAAAATTTGTCATAATGAAATTTTGTCGAAACTGTAGTAATTTTATGATTGAATTCATGAGTTGATTTAAGCTGGAAGCATTAGACATGACTAGTGGAGTCAATCCATATCTGTTATGAGACAGTTACTCACTAGAGACAATAATGGACGGTCGCGCAATATTGTGGATTGATTGTAGTTAGATATTAACAACGTTGGATACTAGGCCAGTGATGTAGATTTTAATCTTTCACACATGTAACATATAGGTCCTGGGTACGAATCCTGTAAGCAGGGTCGTAAATGCGTACTGCTAATGGGCCCCACAATAGGACGAAACGGCCGTCCAGTACTTCCAGGTTTTCCAGGGTTGTCTAGCTTAAATTGACTCATGAATCCAACCATTAGATTAATTAGTTAATCATAAGAGAGAAGAAATTTCATAATCATCATATTAGTATATCGATAATAAAAAGAATATGCGTAGTTAACCACTATTGATTATTGTATTATATTTCCATTATTTAGTACAAATTTTATGATTTGGCCAATAAATTCATTCATTCATTTGCGTAATATACCCACGTATTTAATACTTTATCTAATTAAATTATTCTCTTTCAATGTTGTATAAAATAACATAGTAACTAATTTACAAATCAATGTAAAAACAATTATAATCAAATAAAAGTGCAGAAAGAAAGAAAAATAATACCCAGAAACATAACCATTAAGTGAATTAGGTCCAAGGAAGGATAAGAGGTTGGACGAATCGTTTCTGTATGCAAAGTTCGAGCTTGAGTTTGTGGATTACCAATATTTCAGCGGTGAATAAAATATTGATTTAACACCCCCCTTTGATCCAATTCCTTTTGGAGTGATATGTCCACAATTTATTAAATGCTCCTATATAGAACTAGTAATTGTTTTACATTCAGCTTTTAAAGGCCAAGTTGAATAGTGTTCTGAGATGCATTTGGAAAGTGACCGCTTTGAAAAGTGTTTGAAGTAGATTTCTTTACATATTCAATAATTTTTAAAAGTAGTACATATTTATAACAGCTTAAAGGTTAAGTAAATGAATCCATTTAGAAAACAAAAATCCTTAAAGATGATTTAAAATATGTCAAGATGTTGAAGTTTAGAAATACATTAACTGTACTTGTGCATTGATATTTAAAGTAAACAAACTAGATAGTGCATACTCAATCTATAAAATTCATTTTCTTAATAGTTGAGATCATGAACCGATTGATGATAGACCATCAGTGAAAATCTTGAAGCACTGGATGGCCGTTTCGTCCTAATATGGGACTTCTCAGCAGTGCGCAACCACGATCCCACCTCGCTAGATTGAAACCCAGGACCTATCAGTCTCGCGCACGAACGCTTAACCTTTGAACTACTGAGCCGACATCCAATGGTGTTAGTTTCTAACTTCTGCTAGTCTCACGAGGCAAGATCGTGGATAAGCACTGCTGAGGAGTCCCATCCTAGAACGAAACGACTGTCCGATACTTCCAAGTTTTCCATGGTGATCTAGCTTCAGTTGACTCATGAATCCAACTATTAAAATTACTATAATATCCACAAAACCCCTACTGTTACTAATCAAAATATGCTCACTAGTGACTGGATTCAAGAGGTATATCCCGGAGTTCTAATAGAAGCAGTGACCAGTGGAATTAATTATTGTTAATCACTTTACATCATACTACTTAATTCTTCTACTGAATTCAAATGTTCCAATTAGATTGAATAACATTTCATTCTAAATAGCATAAAAGAATTAATAATAATTTCGATATTTATTCTATAATCATAAGGTCATTATCTACTTGTATATTTATTTGCGTGTTTAATTTCTAATTTTCAATAGAAGTCTTTAACTTAACTGTTCACTTGTTCAATGATGATCTAATCAATATTAATTACTAACAGGAAAGAAAAAAAAGAAAACAAAACTTAATCTGTCAGAATCAAATTAAAAACAGAATTAAAGTAACAATTTCATTATCTAATCAAGGTCAATCAGATAATTGTTTTGCTTGAATCTTTTGATTGATGTGTTAGGACTGCAATTGATCAGTCTGTTATTGGCATATATATATACTATACGTATTGCTTGGATATTGCATTAATTCACAAGCATTCTAAGCAAAAATGGATGGTGGTTAGTAGTGGAATGCCCCCAAATGCCCTGGTACAGCCGAGAGTTGGGAGAGTCTCTTCTCTCTCTCTCACTCTCCCTCTCGAAATGCTTTCACATGACCGCGTGCATACAGTCACTGACAGAGAAATCCTACTCAATGACTTCTCGCGGCATTACCGTTATTTACGAAATTGAGAGGACGAAAAGTGAATGTCCGACGCTTTAACCGAGTTGGTGGATAAGGAAGATCCATCAAAGTGAGTTTGAACACCGTGATTCCAAATCAATGGTGCACATGAGATTCAGTATCCTGGAGGAACAAATGGCGTATGAACCAATTACTGGTCACCGGCTACCATGGAACTGCATCTCCTCACGTTACTCCATTGCCTTGTGCACTAGACATTTAGGTCAAAGGCTCTGGGTGTGGCCTCCTAAGAAAACCACCTGCTTCGGTTTGGGCACCCGAGCAGGTATTCTAGCCCTCACACAAATAGGATGATTTGTGTGGTGCATATCTATTTGGTGCCTTCTCGTACCTATGTTTATGTGTTTAAATAAATAAACTGGAACGCAGGGCGCGCGTTTCGTCTTATTTGGGACTCGTCGGCTGGAAATACCTGCATCCGACAGTTGATATTCACTCCAGGACTCGAACCCAATACCGTTTGCTTCAAGCGTCATCTTGTTATCCACTCAGCTACTGAATCCTCATAGTCACTAGCTTGTGCAATGTGGTAAAGTTTAAATTCACATGATACAATTTAATTGAGTCTTCCCACTGATGTGCTAGGACTGCACTTGACCAGTCTCTTAATTGACATATGTGCATACTATACGTATTGCTTTGATATTGACTTAATTCACAAACATTATAAGCAAGTATGACGTTTGAAGCGAACGGCATTGGGTTCGAGTCCCAAAGTGGACATCAACTCTGAGATGCAGGTACATCCAGCTGACGAGTCCAGAATAAGACGAAACGCGCTTCCTGCATTCCGCTGCTAGCCACTGTCCATGTTCGCTTAGAATGGTTGTGAATTAAAGCTATATCGAGGCAATACGCACAGAATGCATATATGCCAATAAGAGACTGATCAATTGCAGTCGTAAACATCATACGGAACATTCAAGTAAACAATGCAAAATGAATTTAAACTTGACCACACTGCACAAGCTAGTGTTTATGAGGACTCATTAGCTGAGTAGATAACACTATGACACTCAAAGCGAACAGTATTGGGTTCGAGTCCTGGAGTGGATATCAACTGTGAGATATAGGTACATCCAGTGGACGAGTTCCAAATAGGACGAAACGTGTATCAAACTGGATTCTACTACTAGCCACTATCCATCTTTGCTTATAAATACCAATGTTAGGAACTCATTTCCCTAAAAAGAGAATAACAATAGAAGAGTAATGGAGAATGTGTATGAAAAACGAATCTAACTCTCTTGCAATTACAATATATTAATCCTTGGGATTAAAGTACATTTGAATTCCTGAATAATAATAAGTTTTCTTTTAAAAACAAAAAAAATATGTGGAAAAGGAATTTACAACTAAATTGAAAAATTAAAGAAAATAAAACGTGATCTCCTTATGAAAAAAAAAATCAATTACTGAAAATTGATTGATTATCTATCTATAATGATATAAAATTAAATCAATGATGTGAGAATGAGAAGATACCAAATTACAATTATCAAACATACATACATACATACAATCTGAGTCTGTATTATTTGTTTGTTTGTTTGTTTTTGGATTGTAAGGATAATTATTAGGCTACCATCATTTACTCACGTGTACTATCTTCCAAGTGAGTAGTCCCTCCATCTTAATAATAAACACGTGCTTTCCTGAAGCCATAAATAGTGGAATCCAATTATGAGACCATCAGACAGTTAGCAGAAACGTTAATCAACAATCGCTGTGCTGAAGCTATAAGTGTTAGTCATTGAATACAAACTCATTGGTTTGAAGAGTAGGCGCTTGCAGAGAGACCTGAAAGTTTTGAATTCGACCTCTATCGGTATCGTTAGTGTGCAAGCTGGGTAGTACCTTACTGTACAGTGTTCCTTGGCTTTCTGTAATTAATTCGACGTGATAAATTATTTCTATATATCAAGGATTTTTGTCAAAGAATTATGGTGATGCCTAAAAATCATATATTCTTCATAGATATTAGCACATAAACTTGGGGTTAGTCTAGAACTCAACAGAAAACTATCTTTGTTTTATGGATTTCATGATTTACAAGGCGTTTTCTGTTATATCCCATTTTCCAAACTGTTCAACAGTGGGTATCCACTCCATCCCTAGGTACTGAACCAATGGACGTTGTAGCACCATTCGAGATAAGCACATTATCTTTAGACAATTGATTTGACATCCATATTTAGTCCACATTATGGTTAAACTAAACCACTTGTTAATAGCAAATGACAATCAGATCATCTAGCAATAATTTTGTAATCGATGAATACTCGAACACCTCATTAGTAAAGTTTTAGGCTGAGGCTGGGTGACACGCGATTGATACAAATGGAAAATATCAGTTCTCTAAAGATTTCATCTTTGCCCTGTTGACGACTACCAACTAGTGAGAAACTTGAGTTCAGGGTTAATTAGTTCTAACACAAACATTTATATCGATATGCCTCCGAAGTCAGTGAATTTCTCAAATATTTCGAGGAAGTTTTCTATTTTAATCAGAAGGGGACTTTGTGGAAATTTTAATAATTTTATGGTTGAAATCATGGGTCAATTAAAGCTAGACTACCATGGAAAACCTGGCATTATATGGCCGTTTCGTTCTCGTATGAGACTCTTCATCAGTGCGTGTCCATGATCCTGCACCACGAGATTAGAAACCAGGATATATCAGCCTCGCACGCGAACGCTTAACCTCTAAACCACTGTTTTTTTTCTGTTTTAACTGACTAACTGTTTACTGTAATCACCCAATATACTCACTCAAACGATCTGATAACAAACTTACAACCTATAACCACTGCTAAATTCGAAAGAAATCATCACAGTTATTGACATATATTTATTTCCATATATTCTTTTGTCACTGAAATGAAAAGTATGTCAGAATTCATTCATCAAATTATCTTAAGAGTTAAATCGGTTAGAAAAATTTCATTAATGAAGACGCATGACAACTAACTACCGTTTAAGAATTCTATTCACTTGTATTTTGAATATTAACAAGTTCTGTGGGTAATAAAGAGGACTGATATGTCCTGATTTCGAATCTCGTGGTACAGGATCGTGGACGCGCATTGACGAGGAATGCAACACCAGGAGAAAACTGCCTTTCAATGCTTCCAGGTTTTTCATGGTGATCTAGTTTCGATTGACTTATGAATTTAATTATTAAAATAGGACTTTATTAGAATATTCTATAGTGAAACACAAGTTATTGAATTAAAGGATTATTGTTTATCAGTTGCTGATATTAAGCCACTTTGTTCGATATGCCAAGTGAGTAGAAAAATTCAATTTCATTGGTTATTACAATTCTATATTTCCCTTCTCCAATTTAAGCCAACAGGGCATTTAAGGGTGAATTAAAGTACATCTTAACTACTATCAAATTGTAGGTTTAATATCTATGACATATTTAAAAGGTCAACATAATGCACAAATTAATAAGAGTTTAACATTTTTCTTTTATTGATCAGTTTATAACCATTGATTGTGTAACTACTTTTCCCCTAATATTGAGCAATGTTTACATCTGACATATGGGAAGTTTTGTTAACCTAGGAAATATTTTATATGTCTGTAGGCAAAGAATAGAGAACAGACAGGTTAGTGGAATTAACTCAAGTAACCGTAGTAATAATAGTAGTTGTTTGTTGTGGTGGTGGTGGTTGTAGTGTTCAACCATTTTCTTTCCAAAGTGGAGACTCTTAACCGTAAGGAAAAAATCCAAAATTTCTTCATTAATCTAATCCGTCAGAATCAGCTAAAAATCCTTAAATTTTCTTTCATTTTAGCAACAAAAAATAAGGACATAACTGTTTTTGTGATAAGTGGAATTTGTCTGTCCAACTACTACTACTACTATCACTACCACCCCCCTTCATGTCATTCTGACGACTACTAACATACTAATAATTGTCTATTGCTTGATGTGTGTGTACCTCTACGTGACCTTCAAGTGGTAACCAATCAAATCTATCGCTTTTGAATCAGTGGTAGACGAAGTTTGTGATTGTTGATTATTCAAATCTCAAAACCAATAGTATTATTTATCGTACATACTGAAAGTCTATTGTATGATAATGACGATGAAGGACGAAGTTGTCGTTCCCCCTGGTCTAAGGGAATTATTACAAGAATTAACTGTGTCTATACTGCGAGAACACCCTGATAATTTAATTCAGTTTGCTATTGATTTCCTAATGATGAAGAAGGCGGCATCAGAAAATCGTCCAAATAAAACAACTGAAAGTGAAGATGAAGATGAGGAACCTATGCCTATACCTCCACAAAGAGCTACTCGAAGAGCTGGTGTAGCTGCGGAAAGTTATGATCCAGAAAAAGATGATACTTCAAATGTAGAGAAAGTTGTACATCCTAAAACAGAAGAACAACGTCGAAGATTAGCTCAAGCCACTAAAGATATTCTCCTTTTCCGATGTCTTGATGATGATCAAATGAAAGATGTTATTGATGCCATGTACGAACGTCATGTATCACCTGGTGAAAAAGTAATTACACTTGGTGAAGATGGTGATAATTTTTATGTAATAGAAAAAGGAGTTTATGATATCATTGTGAAAGTTAGTAATGAAGAAAAAACTGTTGGAAAATACGACAATAAAGGGTCTTTTGGTGAATTGGCACTGATGTATAATACACCACGAGCTGCAACCATTTTAGCCAAAACTGAAGGTGTAGTTTGGGTAATGACACGTGAAGTTTTTCGTTCAATTGTATTGAAAAAAGCATTTGAAAAACGTAGATTATATGAAGAACTACTTAATCAAGTACCAATCCTAGAAAGTCTCAGTGCTTATGAACGCATGAGTATTGCAGATGCATTAAGAACAAAAATCTTCAAAGATGATCAACAAATTATCAAACAAGGTGATCCAGGTGATGAAATGTTCTTTGTTGAAGAAGGCAAAGTACGCATTAAAATGAAAAGAAGCGGAGAAACAGAAGAAAAAGAAGTAGCTGTTATTGAAAAAGGTGGTTATTTTGGTGAATTAGCTTTATTAACAAGTCATCCACGTGCTGCTTCAGCATATGCTGATGGTCATACTAAACTTGCTGTATTGGATGTTGGAAGTTTTGAACGTTTACTTGGTCCTTGCTTAGATATACTCAGAAGGAATATTGACGATTATGAAGCTAAACTAAAAAATATTTTTGGTAGTTTAGATAAAGTACCGGAATTAAGACGTTAATTATGAATTACTTTTGATGATTAACGTCTTGATTTACATGTGATCACCGATTACTATAATAATTATTATTCTTATCGTAATTACACTGTTCTTTGTGTTCAACCGAATGATCCAACTTTCATGGATATTCATATTCTTTGATTAGTGAAAGGAGATGAGTCAGATCATAGTGAGTACAGTATATATTTTGTTTTTATTTGCTTATATATATATAATTTAAAACAAAATTATGTACATATACGTATTTTCCTCTTTTTTTTTTGTTGTTGGTTGTTTACTTAAGTGGTAATCTGGAATCTACATGTTTCCATCTAAACCGTTACTCGATTTTTTTTCTCCAAATTGTTTCAAACTGTTTCTAATCCTTTCATTAAGTAACTCGTAATTTTAGTCACTATTAACATTACTATTATTATTATTATTATTATTATTATTATTATTATTATTATTATTTTGGATATTACTTGTTCACTGATCATCACTATCATTCATAATATTGGTATGATGCACAAAAAATTGACCATCATACAAGACTATGTGTAGATTGTATTAGCTCGATTCTATATCCTAGTAACACAATAAAATTCTATCTTTTATTCATATGTATCGTTTTTTGATGATCATTTACACTTTGTTACTATGGTGATGGCTGATATTCACTGTAATGAGCATTGTTACCGTACATAGATATAGAAAAGAAAAGAATTTCAAGTAATTCTTTCTTAGTTATTCTTTTTTTTCAATCAATTGCTTACATTTCATTTCTCATGTACCATATAACATGTGCAAATAGTAAGAAAGTTGAACTGTTATATCCAAAAAATACGCTGGTATTACTTATCTTATGAGGCATGGACATATATATTGGTAAAACAAATACACATAATACATTCATCCTTCGTTACTACTAATATCAGTATCATTTTGATTACTTGTACTTGTGAGGGGGGAGAGCTACCCGATATTTTTCATTTTTGTCATTCTTTTTTTCTTTCTGAGCTTATTGTTTTCTTTCTCTTTGTTTGTTTATTCTGCTGTCCTTTATGTTTTTTCTTCTCATTAATGTTCTCTTATTTTCTTCCATTAATCCTTTATAGATAATCAGTGAAAACAAAAAGATATATCATGAATTATTTGTTTTGATGTATCCGTGTTCACGTTCTTGTTACTGACTAATCTGGGTAGTAAGGTTTTAAAATATACTTGTATAATTAATTAAACAATTGAGTTAAGTAATTCATATATATTGATTATGTGTTAGATTCTTATGTTACTTATAAATGGTTATATTTCTGTGTTCAAATGGAAGTAGTTTGAGTCAAGTTTCAAACTTGTAACTGAATGAATAAAAGGTATTTCATACACTATTAAACTGTATGTATTCATATTTTACTTAATTAAGCTTTTGAAAATTGTTCTTTAAACTGTATTCGTGGATGTGCATTACTGAAGAGTCTCATAATAGGATCAAATGGCCATCCATTGCTTCCAGGTTTCTCATAGTAGTTTAGCTTCAATTGACTCATGATCTCAACTATTGAAATTACTATAATATATCCACAAAAATAAACCCTTTTGATAAGAAAGCTAGACAACTAATTGCTTCAACTAAGTTTATATCAGACTGTTCGTTAGAAAAGATCTCAAATATGCTGTTTTTAGTAATGTAGAATAATGTGTTGGTTAGTCAGTATTTATAAGTGAATTACAACATCGCTAATGTATGCTTCAACTCTAATTCAGACAGTTTTTAGATAAATTTTATTGTTTAGTAACTAAGATTGGATTGTTATCGTTATAACTTGTGGTTTTGTACCCTTGGTTCTTTGTTTTTTACCCCGTCACCAATTGTTATAACGCTCGGTTTTACTTCGTCTAATGTTATAACGGTTGGGTTTCCACGTATGGGACGTTAATTTACCTTAAACGATTATCTACACTAGATCCTTCCCAGTGTCTATTCTACAGGACTTCAACACAACTCAGATCAAGAACACATGATTAGCCTGACCACAACGTAAATATATTTCCACACCAAAACCCGACACAATCCAACAACCATGAACAATCAATAATAAGTGTGCCATAATAATTATAAGGATAAGGGAATATATAACTTATCTGACACCTTTCAGACTAAGCAGACAACCAATCATTATCATTCTCGCCCACACATGAGTTATGTTCAATCAGTCATTGTGTGAATGCATTTGGGGAAATTTCTCTTGTCAATGATATGTATATATGGTTGTAGTAAAATAGTAAATTATAACTGAGTGCAATTTTCTATATGTTGAAGTAAGAACAGTTTGCTTTGTATATTGGAATTTTCTATCATAAGGGTTACAAGCTCGAAATCTAGTCACACTTGAGTTGATTTCATCGAACCGGCAATTGGTTTTCACAATCAATGTGTACTATTTGTAAATGTATCATGCCACATACAAATAAATGCATGTCGTTTAATAGATGAACAATTTTTTCACTTATTTTCATTATGACTTTTAGTAACATCTATGATGGAATGGATAAATGTTGGTTTAATTCAGTGTTTTAATAACTAGTTAACTGAATACATTGATTAGATTAGTTGAGCAATGATGATATCTAGTTCTTATCATTAGGTACTATTATTTGACCACAGTTGCTTTAGAAACATTGCTCGCATCTGGTGGGATCACCAGGTAAATAATAGTGAGGTTGTGAATGTTCCTCGACTGAAATAGTTGGACCACGTGTTGCGTATGTCTGAGCACCGATTACCATGACGCTCAATGCTAACTAGTGTTAGGGATGGTTGTAAGAGGTTAGGTTCGGCCAAACCAAAACGTGGCATCAGTCGTTGAAGTCACTGACTTCTTGTCTGAGTCATGTTGGTAGATGAGAACTACTTGGTTGGAGTCCGCGTGACTATCGTAATCAATGGTTGGAGACTTTGTGTGACATCGCTCAGAATCGATCACAATGGCGTAGGTATATTCACCTTCTGTCTTCCTTTAAACTATGAGATTAAAATCGCTTCACATCTTTCTTTCTACCAACTAATTCTTTCTTCCTGTACTATATCCTTATATGCAATCTTTCTTTTATATATTACCACCATTGAATTAACTACTTCTATAAATTCGGTGTTTATCTTGTTGTGTTGATGAGTGAGGTATAGCAACTTGGAGCGATGCATATATATGTGCCTAGTTCTACGTTGTAGCTGACTGACTGAATGTAAAAAGAAGAACTTCTAGTAAGTAAGTAGCAAGTTTGTCGAGAAAAAGTCAATATATAACTAACTAGTTTATTATATTCCTAATGAGTGTAATTAAATCTATTAACATTGTAAATTGTGTGCATCCATTTAGTTATTGATTATTTGATATAAACTATTATCTAGTTCATTATATCCGAATAAAACTATCGACTAAATAGGTCAATCACATATTATTCATTGTATTCTAACATTAGTAATCGATCAGTTCATCTACAGTGTTGCCTTTTTCTCTACATCGAGCAATATCAGTCTTGACCTGTTGTAACATGTAACAAGCAGGAACATTTTCGTCTCCAAACCAGTAGCTAAACCAGTATCTTCATAAATTACAACAAGGTTTGGTCTTTAATTCCTCATCCTTTGGTTAAAGTAAATATATATAATTACTAACTATTACATAGAAACATGTACCTCAAAACAGGGTATACAAGTATGTAATTATTGAGTTAGCAAATCTAGGAATTGGACGCAGATCAGTTAAATCTAAATGCGGAAAAAAATGTTCTATTCTTACCCAGTTATTTGTATACTGTAGATTATACTCTTATATACTATACAACTGTTAAAAAAGAGTACTTTTGAAAATTCTCTTTCCCATCAGTTTTATCGTCGTAAATATGTGTACAAATGTATTTTAATAGTTGAGATCATGAGTCAATTGAAGTTAGACCACCATAGAAAACCTTGAATCTACTGGACGGCTCTTTCGTCCCATAGTGGGACTCCTCAGCAGTACGCATCCACGATCCCGTCTTGAGAAATCCGAACATAGGAGCTATCGGTGTCGCGCGAAGCACTTAACCTGTAGACCACTGAGCTGGCCGGCATCCAACGGTGTTAATGTTTGACTTCAACAACCCACGAAATTGAGCTATACAGCTTATACACGAACTTGAGCGACGCATCCACCACTGTTGAATCTCGCGAGGCGGGATCGTGGATGGGCACTGCTGAGAAGTCTCACAATAGAACGAAACGGCCGTCCAGTGCTTCGAGGTTTTCCATGGTGGTCTAGCTTCAATTGACTCATGATCTCAACTATTAAAATTACTATAATATCCACAAAAACCGCTTCCAATATCACTATATTTTAGTCAGAATTGATCAAAGATGTTTAACTATCAAAACAGAAAGCTTCAATAATATCCATCTTATATATTTAAGGAAATCTTGTGAGATTGTTTGATCAACTATTTGGCAGCGTTTGAAGAAACATCTTTTTCGTTATACATTAAACTGTTAAGGGTTAAGATTTCCAAAGTATCCTTCGGAAGTCTATAGGTGTTCAGAAAACGCTAAGAAGCACTATCCAATCAGCGTTGAATAAGAGCGTCACAGAAACACCTAGGAAGTGACGAGTCACGTTTGACTTTTTTGATTCTATACTTGCCTATCTCGCTACTTTATTTAGTGTAGTTCCAGGAACTTACAGAAGCTCAAGGTCATATAAAACTCAGCAAATACCCTCGTTTTTCTGTACATAAACTAACCTTGGAGTAAAACTTTTTTCCGTACTGCGCGCCTTTTCTCTTGTGTTCCAGTTTCCGTATAGATTTATCCCGGGATTTTCAGAAGCGGCTAGGAAATCGGGTCGAGTGTTCATTTAACAAACTTATCATTGGGATTAGAAGGTTGAGACGAGGTGAAAGAGCACAATAATTCATCATAAACGTATCCCGATACCTATGAAGTACTAGTATGCTATCGGTTAAACGAATGAACATTTTTCATATTTTTAGGGTATAGATTTGAACGGTTTGAAAATGGTTCCCTCTATAAAATAAGTAACTGAGTAGATAACACTATGACATTCGAAGCGAACAGTATTGGGTTCGAGTGCTGGAGTGAATATCAGCTGTGAGATATAGATACATCTAGCTGACGAGTCCGAGCTAGGACGAAACGCACATCAAACTGGATTCCACTACTATCCACTATCCATCTTTGCTAATTGTTACGAATTTTTCAGTTTGCTGACATAAAAAATAAATTCACGCAGCTTCATTTTACCAATGGGCTATGAATCAGTTTATTCGTTCTTCTATTAAGTAGACTGAATAATGCGATAATAAAATCATATCATACCTAAATAAAAATCCTCAGTTCAAACACTATAATGTCTACTTATGTTTATTTTCATGAGGAGGATACGTTTCTCGTTACT